AATCCTCAAATCAGTAATATCAATCAAATCAGTGAATCATCGTGTCAATAATATCAGTCGTATAAAGAGAGACCATCGATTCAATAATATCAGTCGTTGTAAAATGTCAAATCAATACTATCGTTCATGACTTTTGAAATCAAACCAATACAGTAAAATCGTATCAAAACGTACACTTGCGATTTCAGTTATTCAGTATCACGTGCTCGATATATCACATGCAATCCAGTAATCTATATCACGTGTTCAGTGAATCATATGTCACTTAAATAGGTAGCTCATTCCACTCACAAATACAAAACATTCCTAACCTGTTTGAGAACTTTGAGAGAATCAAAGTAAGTTCAAATGGTAAGCAAAAGATCACGACTCATGAGATGCTAGTTCCCCCTCCTTCCCATGACAAGATAATCGATTCAATACACCTGATGACACAACCCACGAGAAGTGCCACCAATACTCCATCACTAATTCCAACTAGTATTACAAGAACACTTTTCCAACAATATTTACCATCTATTTGTCAGTATTATACTATAATTTCTAATTTCACTAGCCCATCTATATCATTCCAATTTACTTTTTTATTTTTTTTGCAAATCTAGCCATCAATGCCAACCACATTGCCATGCAATCTTTAGTCTATAGAAGACATAGTAATCACTGATCAATGCATACATAATATCTTTCACATATCACATTTAGGTGTCAATCCTTAAAATTTAGCTCTAAACCTACATATTATTAGAGTAAATTTAGACCTTAAGCACTCACTACTTCCTCATCAACAGTCATTAGTAAGTGGAATTGTGCAAAATGCCCATATTATCTAGCATGTGCTTAGCATAATATCACCCCTACAAATGATGATCATATCAATATCACCATACTTCTATCTATAGTAACCCACTACTATATGGCTCACACTAAATTCACTGATGTGAATATATTTAATCAATATATTGGAAATCATACTTCAATTAGCAATCCTAGGGTCAAACGCCACAAAAACCCAACCCTTTGATAATATTATTGCCCATGTCCTTGAAATCAAGTACAACCTTACTTATCCCGACCAACCAAATCATCTCCCTTCTCACTTTACCAACCACTCCTTTCACATTTTTTTGGTACGAAGTGTTATCTCCCACATGAGGGTGGCAGTGATGATGAAGCAGCACCTGCCCCCACCTCCGCAATACCATAATCTGCATGACACCTGGACATAACATTTCTCCTAACATGAGCTAAAATTAATTATAACATTACTTAGGAGAATCTTCAGGAGGCATAGCTTAAGCAAAAGGAGACGCAGATCGCCCTAGATTCAGGACAAGAATACTTAATTTTTTTCCAATTCATCTTTCTCGACCTCCAGACCACACCATTCAATAGTTGAACGGGTCTCACTCCATCTTTTATTTGTATTTTGTTTTAGTGCATGTGTTTATCGTTTCCTTTGTTAGCACGTCTTTTTTTCTCTTTTTTGTGTCAAATGGAGGATTAGTAGTTATGGCTATGTTATGTTTGTAGCCGTGCTTATATTTATCTTAGTGTATTACAATGTTGTAATTTTGGGTGCATCTTTATACAGCTAAAAAATAAAAAATAAAATTCTTTTATGAATCATCAATCTAATTATCCCTTCACAAAATTTAGCCAGGCATAAAATCAGAGGTAGTTACAAAATCCTCGAACCTATGTACACAACCACAATAAGTTTGTCATTTTCAAAAAGAGAGATTATTAATCTCATGAGCTTCGAGCTACATTATAGAATTTTGATGATTACAAGCATAATTTGGTGGAGATTATATCTTTTGGACTAATCCTTATTTGTGTAAGTTTAGTACTACTAAATTGCACATGTACACAAGAGTCTATATAAATATGTGATGTGCAAATCTAGAACATACATAAAGCAATAACCATAAGTCAAGCAAAAAATATAAAGATCAAAATTCACCAAATTTAGACTTTAGAGTTTCAAGATGAGTCGGATACAACTGATGAGAGCTACAATGGTAATGCTTTAAGTCTTGTAATTTCTTATTTCAGAGATATTTTGTGCGCGTGCACATGGGTGTGTGTATTACGGACAAAGAGTCTTATGAAATAGCTAGCACATAGATGAGAGAAATTTTAAAAAATAATTTTAAATTAATGCATATTAATCATATAGATAATACTAAATGATATGACTTAAATTTAAAAAAAAAATCAAGATCAATTTACATTAATTAGGGAAATCATAAAATTAATTGTATCAAACAATCAGATATATATATATACAAAATTAATTTTTCATTCTATTATTTATTAATTTGATTAATTTAAATTTTGAGAAATCCATACTATACAATGTATAACATACTATACGATATATTTTCTAATTTAATCTCTTGAAGTCACAGTAATGACTGGGCTAAACAATATATATCTAAATGAACTAATCATAATGTATAATATATATCGTACAGTATGATTGAACAAAATATGATTTTACCATATTGTATCAATCATATTGTATGATTGATGAATCATATTGGATGATATGCCTATATTTTTTAAATAAAATATTTTAGGGTTTAATGTTTAAGACACTTAATATAAATATTTATTTGCAAACTCTAGAATATGAGAGCTAGAGAATTTTGAAAGAAAGAATGTGGAAGTTTGCTTTTAAGAAAGATATTGTTGCTTTTTATTTGAAAATCCTAAAAGTTGATATCTCATTGTGAGAGTGCACTAGTGGGATATCTTTCAGCTGAATCTTTCATTTAAGTTTTGTTAGCTTGTTGTACTTGAGATTGTAAGGGATCCATGGGATCATAAAGGTTTGCATTGATATGTTTGCTGTTGCTTGGAGTAAATGAGGCGTTTAAGTTTCTCCATTATCCATCGAGAAGAGGGGTTATCCACCCAATTGTGACTGAAGGAGAGAGTTGTAGAAATCTATGTTGGAGAACTTAAGGAACAAACATAGGTGTTAGTGTCAAACTACATACATCAATATGCACCTCTTTTTCCCTTGATCCTTTTTTACTGCATTGTAGCTTATTTTTACTTATGATTTAATTACTTGTGCTAATTGGATAAACATTGATAGATAATGATTTGATATGTCAGATAAATTTGTAAGATCTATTTTTAGTTAGCAGAAATCATAATATGAGATCTAGTCAAAGAATATTGATAGCCATTGGTCTTTGAAACTATCTCATTGTTAACTTTAGAACTTGTTTGCCACTTCATGTTAATTTTATTAAATAAAAATTATATAGCTCATTGAATTTAATTTTTACATCTAACTTGCTTAATCAGTTCAAAAATTAAAAAATAAAAAATTAAAATCAGCACAAATTCACCCCCTAGGTTGTTATCATTCACTTCAGATCAATCTAACATTTTTCTAGTGATTGATACCATACAGATTCTAAGCCAAATCTTCCATAGTAATTGAAGGTGAACAAGAGCTTGAGTTTGCACAATGCATAGATATTATTTTGGCTTCAAAACAAATTCAAATGTCACCAAAAAAATGATCCATATTTTCAATAGCACCTCTATATTCTAATATTGAGTTCATGCTTCCACATCCACCATAAATACATTGTCATAAGATGGCATCCTTTCCTTTAGTTCAAGTATATTTCTTAGCAACATAGTTTTGTCTTGATTATCCTGTTTTTCCTCCCAACACAACCTTCCAGTGAGTTTGTCTTACAACTGCTATTATCCACTGACATGTTTTGGACTAACTGTGTTCGCTGTAAGGGTCAATGTTTTGCCTAGGTCGCAACTAAAATCACCAAATAAAATTACTGAAATCCTTTTATCTTCTCATGTTAATATTCGCATGTGGGCCAATTCCACTTCTACTGCCACATTGGTCACCTTCCAACACTTTGGAGAAAAGTTTCTTCCAGCCCAAGTGAATAATGATACAAATAAAGATTTCAAGATTCTCTGTCATAATAATTCATAAACATGTGTCCATTTCATTTTGACATGTTTTAACTGTTTTAAATTTTTTATATATATATATATATATATTATTTTTTTTCTTTTTTTTTTAGCTATTATTCTTCTTCTCATCTTTCCTAGTTGATTCCAAGTATCTCTCATCCTCTCCCTTCGGGTCCATTCTATGAGTACACATTCATCATTTCCCATTACATCAATTTTCCATCTGTAACAATAACAAAATTCTTTACTCATCAAATCATTTAATCCTATGTTCATGTTATTTTAATTCTCTTCCTTCACCTGTGAAGAAAAATTGAATATCTGTTGAAGAACAACAATATATTAATGAACAACATTCATAATATCTAAAGTATATATCATAAAAAATATATTAACCATCAAGCATAATGCAATTACTATTTGTGCTTAGAATCCAGTAATTTCAAAATTAGCTACACCAGAACAGATAAGACTATTGGCCAATTTTATTGCATATAGAGAGAAAAAATCCGTTAACACGTCAAGCTATAAACAAGACTTAATTATAAATATTTGAATCACTAAACAGGAAAAAGGATATAGTTAAAACCAAAAAAAAAGTATACAGATTCCTAATAGCAACTGTTTCATACATGAGATTTGAAAGACTAGGAGAGTTCACAAATACAACTTTAAAGGGTTAGCCTTTTTGTCTTTAAATTATTCTGAAAGCTAACAAGCTGTCAGGATAGACTATCAATAACTTTGGCCTAAAAAGATTCATCAAGATTAATAACACAAAAAGATACAAAACTTGTGCAAAACAAGCTCAATTGTAGAACTAACCAAGCCGACGACAACTCAACCATCTAAACAAGAAAAGCAAACTTGTACAAAACAAGCTTAATTGCAGATCCAACCAATCGGATCACAGCCAAACCATACAAACAAAAAAAAAAGCACCAAACCGCTCGACAGAATAGGTGAAACACACCAGATAACAAAATAACAGCCAAAAAAAGAGAAAAAAAGAAAAGAAAAACAGCGGGCACCTCAACAAAAAAGGACAAGACTATAATATTCCTCGCCGTCCTGCGAGACCTTAAAGCCCTCCGTTTCATCCTGGCATGGACGGACGCCTCCTCCTTGGAGAGGTAACTCAACCTCTTCTCGTAGTCATCGCTTCCTCCACCGAAGATCCCCTTCCAGATGCGGGCCACTACTCCGATCCTCTGTTTTGACTTGGCCGCTGTGCCGCTGTTTTTTGGAGGATCACCCGCAGAGGAGGAACTCGTCGGATCGTCCACTGCCGCTGAGGTGTAGTCCTCCGCCATTTCGTTAGTAAGAAGAGGGTATTGCAAAGTTCTGGAAAATCGGAGGAACCGGAGATTTTTGTTTCGATTGAGCCGCTTTCGTGGAGAAAAGGAGAGAAGGGAAGGAATGGCGTTAACCGTTGAAGAGCTCTTATTGCTTTCGTCGCTTCTAGGCCTGCCGCTTGGCGTTGGAGACGCTTCCGGAGACTTTCTCGAACAAGGACGGTTGTAATTAATATTTGATTTTATAAATATTAAAGCAATACTTATTGAGGGGTTTGCATACATATTTTATAATTTTTTAAAATATATTTATTTAATATTTATTATTATAATACTTAAATATTTTAATCAAATTAAAAATAATTAATATTTAAATTATTTTAATATAACTAAATTATTAAAATATTATATACATAATAAATATTAAAAGTTATATATTAAAAATTGATACGACATCAAAAAAAGCTTTGTCAGACAAATCTCAAAGCACATATAAGTTGATAATTTTCAAAATTAAATTTGAGGCCATCCAAACTCCAATTTCAACAAATATTTAGTCAAACATAACATCTCTAAGTGACTAACCTAACAACACCAAAATAGATATAATACGAGCCCCAAGGAGTCCAAATCAAGGGGTTGATGTACATTTGGAAGATTCAAAGCATAAATTGGATAACCAATGATATCCAAATATAGCATTCTTATAATCGAATCGAGCGGCTCGATAAGACAAATCGAATGAGCCTAAGATTGTTGAATTCAGACATCACTAAGGAATTTAAATGCATGAATAAATGTTATATGACCAGGGGAATCGATATGAGTTGTCTGATGGAGCACTCGGAATTTGGCCTTGAACTTCTCAATATTTAAATGGTGTGCCAATCAAAAATATCTATAAATAAAGCCATGCTATATTCATGAAGGGATCATTTGGTTAGAGATTGGAGAATGCTATGAGGCTTCAAGGATCCTAGAGTTTTATATAAAAACTACCGCTGGCAAACTTTCGTTGACTATTACTGGACAAATGCTCGTCCACCGACCATCGCCGGACCATAGCCCCGTACATCGATCATCACTAGGCCAATTTTCGTCCACCAACTGTTACCAGACCACTACCCATCTGCCAACCAACTCAGGCCCTCCTCTGGGATGCCACATTCAAACCTACGCCCGTCTGCAAACCATTGACCGCAGTTGAATCATAGCCCTACCGCCAACCATCTCCAAACTACCTCCTATCCATCGATCCCCATTGAACCTCCGCCCATTGTTGATTATTCTTTGCACCTCTAACCACAATTTCCCATCAACTACGAGCCCTCCAACCTCCGTCGCATGCTGACTAGGGTCCCTTCGACCACCATTACCCTTTAACTATGATCCCTACGTCCACCGTCGCCCAAAGACTATGGTCCCTCCGAGTAAGGTATTATGCCTATTACAGCCCCTCTGACCACCATTGTCCACCAACTATGGTCCATGTAACCACTATCACGCATCAACTACAGTCCCTTCGACCTATGTCGCCTAGTGACTACAATTCCTCCCATCAACATAACTTGCATACTATGGTTCTTCCGACTAACATCACCATCGACTACAATCCCATCGACCAATATTGACCTCCTAATACGGCCTTTCTGACCACTATTGGATGTCGAATACGGTCGCCACAACCTCCATCCTTCATTGACTATGGTCCCCCTGATCACCACTATCCATTAACTAAAATCCCTTTGACCTTCGTCTCCCATCAACTATAGTCCCTCTGACCACCATCACATGTCGAGTACGGTCCCTCCAACCACTATCGCCCATGAATTATGGTTCCTCTGACCACAGTTATCCATCAACTACGATACATCCAACCACCATTGCTTACCTACTAGGGCCCTTTGGACCTCTATCACCTACTGATTAAGGTCCTTCTGACCTCCATCACTCGCCGACTATGATCCTTTCAATCTTCGTTCCTCATCGACCACGGTCCCTCAAACCTCTAACATTTTTTCCCTCCAACTACAATCCCTTCGACTTCACTCACCGACCGATTATAATCCCTATGACCACCATCACCAACTGAATATTATGTATCATAAATACTGAAAAGATGCGCAATATCGCCACAAATATATATTCTTTCATTTATCTTATAATCTTTAATTTCAAATCGGTCTAATGTTCAATTATAATTAATATTGGAACTTGACTTACAGTAATTTTCATTTCATCAATTTTGCAATAATTATCCTTATCACATTGTCTAGACTGATTCAAGATTTTGATATATTTATCTTGTTTTTTTTACATATTAATTTAAATGATATGAATTTTTATTTTTTAATGAACCTTACTTTTATCATTGCTATTATACCTTTATCTCTTTCAGGATCAATTATCAAAGGTTTTTTTATATGACTTCTTATATTTCTATCGTATGTTTCTTACTCTCTTTTTGCTATTGTCAAAAACGGGGAGAAATATTGTTTGTCTTGTATTTTCCTGTCTTTTTTATTTTTTTATTTTTGTGTAGTTCTTGTTTTTAGGGTTGTTTAAGTTTTTTCTTTTTTATTTCAGTATTCTTTTCTATGTGTTAATCTTTGTGTGTAAAATACTTTTTTAAAAAAATTGATTGTAGTTATTACATACGCCTTATACTCACATGCTTATTTATTCAGGGGGAGTTTAGGAGAAACTTATGGTTTTTAAATATACACAAACAATAATTATTTTGTCATCATAAAAAAGGAGAGATTATTGAGAAAGTTGCTATTTAGCTTTGCATGTTTTACACACTTGCAATTTGTATATTTTTGATAATTCCAAATATTATTGTCTTGATTATTATTTTCTCCTAACACATTTTGGAATATTTGTTTTCACTCTTATATGCACTAACATTTAAGGGAAATCATACTCCAATTTATTGAAGACTTTAAATCAAGATATGCTTAGAATGTTTTATAAAATTAAAGTATGTATTTTTTTATTTTATTTGAGTCTGAGAGAATGTGATTATAATTAAGTAACTTAGCACACACATACTAGGATAGAGCATTAAAATTCATAATTTTTAAAACTAATCGTACAATACGAACCATGTTCGTACGGGATGATTTGGTCATTTATACTCCCAAATGAGCAATGGAATGAACAGAGATTGGCAAAAATGTTTTCTAAGTATAGTTCGTCTAGACGATATTTATCGTTTGTCCCAGGATGATGCTCTTTGGATGCGTTCGTTCAAATGATATTTATCATTCATCCCATGACGATGCTCTATGGATGCATTCATTCAGATGATATTTATTGTTCATCTCAGGATGATACTCTCTGGATGACTTCGTCCAAACAATATTTATCGTTCATCACAGGATGATGCTCTCTAGATGACTTCGTCTAAACGATATTTATCATTTGTCCTAGGACGATGCTCTCTGGATGTGTTCGTCCAGATGATATTTATCGTTTGTCCCAGGACGATGGACTCTGGATTTTACTAAAATGAACTATTCATCTAGATGATATTTATGATTCGTCCTAAGACGATCTTCTCTATTCTGGAAACTTGGAATTCGTCCTGCTTTTTCTTACCAATGAACTTTGAGAATAACTATTCGTACTAGACGAACCATGTTCGTACAGGATGATGATCATCTAAGAAGGCAGTTTATATTAAGATCATATGCAACAATTTTTACACTATTCGTACGTACGAAATTGGATCGTACGGGACGATCGTGGACATTCAGAAATTGATAATTGCATTTTTTGGTTAGTTTCTCATGTCTTTTCTATAAAAGGTCCATTTTAAACTGACTTAAAACCTTTTTGTCACTTGATCTTCGTGCATACTTAAGGGATTTTGAAAGAGAGAGTGAGAGAGAGTGTTTGAAGGAGATTTCTTACTATTGGAGTGTGAAGATTCACTTGGTTACTCAAAGGTAATGATCTTTGTGTGTAATTTGTGATTACTTCATTTTTTTCTCTTGTGATTCTAGATTTATCGTGAGAAGATCTTTTAAAAAGTTCCAGTTCTCTGCCGACACTCGAGGAGTGAGAACAATCAATGGTTATCTGCCTACACTTAGAGAGTATGAATAGCGGAAGGTACTCTGCCTATACTTTGAGAGTACAAGGATGACAGTAATCTGCCTACACTTGGAGGGTGTAAAAGGATGACAGTTCTCTACCGCATCGGGTAGTGGTGGAAGAGAGTTTTTATGAAGGCTTCTCTGCCTTGTTGTAGGAGAAAAAGGAGAGACACTAGTGGTAATAGTGCAATACCTGAAGTGGGAGACTTCAGGGAGTGTATGTAGGTCGTGTTTGACTGAACCACTATAAATCTTGTGTCTTTTTATTTTCTCCTATTTTTTATTTTTCTATGGTTGAAAAATTATTTTTAAAATTACTAAAAAATTGCATCATTTTAAACACTTAAAATTCCAGTTAACAAGAGGTAAAATTTTAAATTACCAATTCACCCCTCTCTTGGTTAGCCATTGGGACATAAGCTTGGGTCTAACAACCTAACTCATATATATTTAACTAGTTTCAACACTCAATTATCTCATATTCTTCATTTAATGCATACAGTGGTCATGTGTGTAATTAAAATCTAGTGTGATGTATAGCCTTAATGGAGGAATGCAAAAATAACCATAAATATTGAGATAGAATGTTGGCATGCCTAAATATAGGATATTTAAACATTCTAGGTTCTAAAAGAGGTAATATAATTATAGAAGGTCAACATAAATTATTTTCACCCATGAAAGCTTGATAGAGATCTAGGGATGCACATACTTTGAATCACATCTATAATTAAGAGTCTTATTAGGAAAATTATTATATTTTGTATTCATCAATTTAAAATATTTTATTAAACATTATATTAATTTTTCTACTATTTTTATATAGTGATAGAAACTCCAATAACAACAATTTTATTTTAGTAGGATAACTTATGCATTTAGAGTAAATAGCAGTAGTTTTTTTTTTACAAGTAAGCATAACACTATTGTGGGTTCAACACTCTACTTCATCACATTCTTATTTGATTAGACACTTATACTTGCATACATTTAAGTGGGCTTTCATTATTATCATATTAAAGAAAACCTAAGCATTACTTAATATTGATAGAACTAGCATTTATTACATAGTTTGTAACAAAGCCTTGCTTGCCTACACATATAAGTCCACCCAATCAAATTTT